GAAATTTCCCTACTTAAATTAAATAATGGTAGACTTTTTCAAGTTAATGGAAAAAATTAATGCATAGAGTTTTTCCAGTTTTAAGCCTCTCTCTCTTTTCTTTAACTTGGCCTTAGTGTAAAACGTTATCTGATTGAATATGTAATTCTCTGTTGATTTAAATAGCAAATAGTAATATTTCATAGTCATCTGCAAAGAACTCCTTTTTAGTGTTTCACTCTGTGTTTGAAAACCAACTAGTTTATTTAAAGCTCTTGATATAAAAATTTATTTTAATGTAGGAATCTGTTTTTATAAATGCTGATTCAGAAGACTAATGATAAGGAAAATCAGGCAATTAGATTGGAAAGAATAGTGACTGTAAATATTTGCATCCTATTCACATGTATAGGAGCCTTGGTGGCACAGTGGTTAAGAGTTATGGCTGCTAACGAAAAGATTGGCAGTTCAAATCCACAAACTGCTTCTTGGAAACCCTGTGGGGCAGTTCTGCTCTGTCCTATAGGGTTGCTGTGAGTTGGAATTGACTCAACGGCAGTGGGTTTTTTTTTTAAATCATGTATAAGAAAAGATATATACAGGTAGTCCCCGACTTACGATGTATTCGAGTTACAATGAATTGTACTTAGGACCGTCTGTGTTTTGTTTGTTTGTACATCTTTTCATTAGCAACATATACTACATACAGTGTTGCAGTAAGTGAAAGGATCACCCAGACTTCCACTAATTTTCTGACTAGAAATGTCATCCCCATTCCCAGGGATGATCCAGAACCTTTCACAAGTGGAGTTATTACCGCAACTGACAAAATACCAACATTGTCCTCTTTTTTTATGGACGTGTGTGTTTTTTTATGTATGTATTAAAATATATTTGTAAGTTTATATGTAATTTTCCAACCCACAAAGATCGAATTTATAAAGAGACTGATAATGAAAGGCAATAATAATGAAAAAAAAAGAGATATTTGACTGAATCAGAACCAACTTACATCAGCGTCATTGAAATGGAACCCCATCGTAAGTCAGAGACTACTTGTATAACTATGAAAATGAGCCTTCTGGAAACAGTCTGAAGTTTCATGACTCTCGTAAAGCCCAAGAACGAACCAAGGCTAGTAACACCAAGCTTGTGTGAAGAGTAGTATGCTTTCTGAGCAGCTTCCTGAATTGCTTTTAAAAGCGTGGTTGCATTTCTCTGGCTCCCTTTTCCCAGATCATAGAACTTTCTGAGTAATGGTTTTGCCAACAGGTAGGCTCCATCTCATCATACCTTCAGAACACTGGTACTTTTAACTGTAGCTTTATGTTGTCTTCAGTGAAGCTATACAAGGTTCTTCCATCACTGCAAGTGGCACCAAAACAAGAAGATAAGAATGGGAGGTAGAAGTCTAAATGGAAATTCTAAGTAGCCCCACAGCATTTAGGGGTGGGGAGTAGATGGAATTAGTACAGAGCTGTTGGCAGTTTTTCTGAATCCATTCCCTCTTGAACTGAAGTTAACACACCAGTTGCTGTCAAGTTGACCCTGATTTATAGTGACCTTATGTGTGTCAGAGTAGAACTGTGCTCCACAGGGTTTTCAGTGGCTGATTTTTTGGAATTGCCAGGCCTTTTTTCTGAGGTGCCCCTGGATGGACTTGAACTTCCAGCTTTTTAGTTAGTAGCTGAGTGTGTTAACCATTTGCACTACCCAGTGATTCCAAATAAGTTATTTATGCTTAAATAGAATGTACCCAGGACCTAACATAAATTTCAGTGGACCTCAAGGAAATTTAATGGTGGTTATGAACCGTTTGGAGGAGCCCTGATGGCGCAGTGGTTTAGAGCTTCGGCTGCTAATCAAAAGGGCAGCCATTCAAATCCACTAGCCGCTCCTTGGAAACCCTATGGGTTTTACTCTGTCCTGTAGGGTTGCTGTGAGTCGAAATTGACTTGACAGCAATGGGTTTTTGGTTTATGAACCATTTACTGCGTTGTGGAACTTTGGGTCTGTTTTCCAGAAGTAGCATTGGATGGGGCTAAGATAGGAGAGGGGATGATGAGTTAGGATGGCCTCATTGTTTATTTAGTGGTTTGGTGAATGTTCTTGAAGACCCATGATTTCTCTTTGTCTCCTTCCACCTCGTTTCTCCCCTCCTGTCTTGAACCAGGTTACTCATCATTTAAATTTATTTAGGAGTAGGCATGATAGAAAATAAATGCCATTGGATAAATAATACAAACAATAATAGATACCATTTATTGAGGGCTTTCATTGTGGCCCTTTTGGTGCTAAGCACTTTATGTAATTGTCTCACATCACCCTTCCCTCCATCCAGGACTTCCTGTTTTACAGATGAGGAAACTGAGGCTGAGAGGTCTGAGAACTTGCTCTAGGTCATACAGTCAGTGAGTGTGGAGGTCCAGTGTGCTCCCTAGTCCAGGGAAGTCTGATTCTAAAACCATATTCTTTTTCATTTTTAAATAATTTATCTTTTTGTTATTGTTGAAAACACACACAGCAGAACATACACCAGTTCAGCAATTTCTACATGTCAGTTCATTGACACTGATAACATTTTTCAAGTTGTGCAACCATTCTCACCCTCCTTTTCTGAATTTTTCCTTCCCCCTTGACATAAACTCACTGCCCCCTGAGCTTCCTATCTAACCTTTCAAGTTGCTGTTGTCAGTTTGATCCTGTATAGAATCGTTCTTTAAAAGAGCGCAATGCTCAAGGTGAAGCCATATTCTTAATCACAGCACTGGGCAGGCACTATCAAGCAGTTTTCTAAGAGCAATTGTAATTGATTTCTAGGCATTTATTATATTAGCCATTAACATGAGTTATGATCAGCTTGAAGCTGCCTATAATGTAGCACAGTAGAGAAAACATCAGAGTAGAAGATGGAAAATTTGGGATCTGATCCCAGCTCTGAGAACATTTAGACATTTAAAGCACAAATTGGCACGTAAGGAGAGTTTTGGGAAATAATTGACCCCTTCTGAGTCTTGATTTCCCTTCTGTAAAGTGGGGAAAATACTATCTATCCTTTCAGACTCTCAGATTTGCTGTAAGGATTCAATACAAAATAGGCATGCTTAGAAAACTATAAAGTGTTCTGTACATGTTAGGTGACATGATTTATAAAGTGTTGTCTCTTAAATTTCCTATAATCTTTGGGTTACTGTATGAATTGTTTTCATTTGTGGTCCCAGACCTGTGAGAATTAGAAAGTGAAACTCTCGTTTATTTGTCTCACAGAGGAGCAGTCCTGGTGGGGAGCATCGACTGTGCATCTGAGATCAGTCAGTGCAAAAGTGCTGTGGGAATTTAGGGTAGGGAGGTTCACTCTGAAATAGCATTGCCCTAGAAGGCCTTAGGAAGCCCACGGAATAGTGAATTAGTTAGATTTTAAAGGATGTGCTATTGATAGTTCACTTTGTAGAAAATTTCCTTTGCTTTTAGAAGGAGAACCAGCTAAGAGCCTAGAGTCAACCTATGCCTTTTTTTAAAAAAAATGTTACTTATGGACTGTCATGAGATGGAGAACTCTTACCATGGAGGAGCGAATTGGCCCTGCCCTCAAAGAAGTGCATGAAGAAGACTTTTATGCTGTCCCCGTCTTCTCCACAGTGCTCTTCTTTCCATGCCTTCCTCAGAATACAGCAAGGAGGGAATCCTTTCCTGAAACTGTTAGGGAAGCAGTACTGTCAGTCTTGGGTTAGTTAGCAGTCTCTTTCTTCCTCCTTAGTTGAACAGCAAAGAACACTAAATAAATCAGGATTTTAAAAGAGATTAAGAATTCTTATGAGTAAAAATAGCATTGGTGGTTGCAAGTACTCCAATAAAATTGAAAGTGTTATCAGTCTAGCAGGCTGACCTACCAAATGGTTTCAGAAAGACCACCTTTCCCATTCCAGTGATCGGTTAATAAAATTATTCCTGACAGTGGCAGGCCAAGGAACTCAGGCAGTTACATACTTAGAGACAGAGAACCCATTGTCCAAAGATCTCAGAAGAGCCTTTGCAAACACACAGAAAGGATTTAGAATGATTTGCATAAATCTCTCCTTGGATAGCGACATGGCTCCAGTGTTGGGGTGGATCCAGGAACCCCTCCTTGGCTGTATCACGAGGTGACGCTGTACTTGGTGAGAATTCAGCCTCATGATGGTTTTTGCCAGTAGGATTGGGTGATGTGTTGTTGAATAAGCCCACTGTTTGGTTCCACACAAGGGCTCTTTTGTGTTGGCCTGGGGGCAGCCATGTTCAAGTTTGTCTTGCCTTTTGCCCAATGATGTTTTTGGACTTTGTGGCCTGGAGAATTAAGCACAACACCTATTTTGAGCTAATCTGTCAAATTTTGCTGTTGGAAGGTTAACCACAGCCCCTTGTGTTTCTAGAATGTGGAGAATAATAGTCATACCTTTGGAAACTTTTGATTTACTGAATTAAAAGTTGGGGCGGGTAGAGAAGGAAGGAGAGAAGTTCCTTGGCATGCCCAGGTAACTAGGTATACATGCCTGTTCATGGTGGAAGTGTGGGAAGTAATTCCCTTCCGTTTCCTAATATGATTTGCCTAGTTCATCGAATCTTTAAAAAAAAAAATCCTCTTGCATAGTTAACAAACAAGTTTTACTTTAGTATTAAATATTCCCCCGTGAAAGGGCATGGGTCACCCTGGAGTATATTAAAAAATACCAGGTAGTCATGAATCTGTTTCAACTTTTCTTCCTTTTTTCCTTCTTCCTCTTTATTTTAATGGTATACATTAAACACTAGATATTAGGAGCCTTAACTACCACTTTCTTGTACAGAATGTTATCATTCTAGAAGCCACATAAAGAGTCTAATTTTAAATCCAGGGAGTAGTTTATGCACTTGGGAAATTTGGTGCTTTAAGTACAAAAATGAAATCCACTAATTTCTAACCTGGAGTTTATTTTCCTTCAGTCTGCTAGCTTGATTGCTCAGCTTTGTTCTAATAATATAAACATTTTTATGTTTATTTATAGGTGGCTTTAACCAAAAGAGCAGATCCAGCTGAGCTAAGAACAATATTTTTGAAGGTCGGTATAAAGGAATCTATTTTGTTTCTTGTTTGATTTGTGTTCTGTAACTTTTAAAGATTATTTTCAGACAACTCTTTATTTCATTGTTGTATTTTTGAAAAAGCCAAAAAAAAGTATCTTAAGACTTAAGAAACAGATCCTTTACAATTATATCTGCTTTTTAGGAAAAAGTATGGAAAAGTTGTCAGTGATTGTTTATAAGGATGACATGGTTTAAATTTTAATTTCTTTTGTCTGACATGGTATCAGGTACTGGAAAGCAGCTGTTGGAGGATTTAGTCTTGCAACCCATTTACCTTTATAGGATTGACCTGTGCAGTTTGATGATAATGCTTTTTCTTCTAAGAAGTTTAAAGCTCTCTATAAACATCTCAGTAATCCTCCGTTCATCCAGAGAGGACTACCTTTATCTCTCCTTGGTAGAAGCCTGCTGTCATCATTGTCATCATCATCATTTTATTATGACCGTGGTGCCCTGTAAGGAGGTGTCAGTATGAATAATATAGATACTAGATCACAACAGAAACCATCCATGTTTATTTCCTTGGATTCTTATTCTTCTATCTACTTGACGTGTTATTGGGCAGTGAGTGATTAATTCTATACGTCTACCCTGGGTTGCCCAACTTAGGTTATGCACTCTACTAGTAGCTGTAAGGTTGGTAGTTCAAACCCACTCAGAGGCACCTTGGAAGACAGGCCTGGCAGTCTGCTTCCGAAAGGTCACAGTCTTGAAAACCCAGTGGAGCATTTCTACTCTGCACACGTGAGGTCTCCATGAGTCGGAATCGACTTGACAGCCACTAACAACAACAATCTTGGGTACTGAGCACTGCAGCACCTTTATGTTATTCAAGTGGAATTAAAGTACACCAAGGAGAAAAAGTCACTTTTGTAAGGATAATAAAAAACAACTATGTGGGCCTTTTCTAAACATTACAAAAAGGTAGCTTTGTTATAAGAAAGAGAACTAAGGCTTTAAATGAGAAACGTGATGCTCTAACTGCTGTGTATTGAATATATGGCTTAGAAAGTTGTTAATTCTCTGAGCCTCAGTTTACTCGTCAGAATTGTTAAAGGACGTTGAGACATCAGGGAAGTTGAACACTAATGGGATATTCAGTGTTAAGAAATTGTTACTGGTTTTTTTTTAGACTGTAATACTATCTTCATTATGGGAAATACAAAGCATCTTTATCTTTTAGAGATGCACACCAAAGTATTTACAGATGACATTATGATGTCTGAAATTTGTTTTTAAATAGTACACTTTGTTTCGGGTAAGACAATGAGTGGACAGTGTGATGATAATTTTTGAAAATGGTAAATAGGAACATTGGGTTTAGTATATTATTCTCTATACTTTTGTGTATGTTTGAACATTTTTATAATAAAAAGTTATACAGACTCAATGAAAGAACTTATGTGAAAGTGCCTAGCACCTGGTCTGCATTAGATGTTGAGTTAGTAAATGTTTAAAATTAAATACTTCCAACATAGGAGAGACAAACACTCAAAAGAAAATGATTAAAAATTAGGGACAGTTTGGGGATGAGTTAAAAAGGCTAAATTTATGAGGGGGCTTAGATTATACATAAAAAAGCAGGATTCTTTGTAACTTTTTTCTTTTTTTTGCCCAGAAGGGACAATATATAGAGATTCTAAGGTAGAAAAGGATTCTGGATAATGAGTGCCTAGGAAGGAAAACATTTGGTTCTTAACCTAGACTAGTGTTAGTTCTTACCTAGAATAATGTCTGTTGCTATGCATGTTGGGCCCACTATGGTTGAGATGGAGTGTGTATGTGGAACCGTAGAGGTTTTTTAGCATGTGTATTTAAGGGCTAGTGATACTGCAAAACTCTAATGATATAATTCCTGAAGACCACTTTTGGAAGAAGACCCAAAAGGTTTGCCAAAGAACCTAGAGAAATAGATAAAGCTCATTAACTTGAACTGGCAAAGTCATGATCATTCTTTGAACCCAGGACCTCTTTTATTTCTGTTTTCTAAACAAACGAGTTGTGGGCATCCTTCTGACTGAAAATGGGAACAACTCAAAGAGTGTCCCAATAGAGGTGCAGCTCTGATACTCACTAGTCTGTTGGTGTGATCCAGTGGAGAGGCTCCTGTTAAAGACTATGTCCACCTTTTGAGGCTGCATGGCAGCTGGTGAGGCTAGATTAACGTCTTAGTTTGGAACAGTGTATCTTTGCCAACGACTACACGCACTCAATAGCAGGCAGACGTTTACTGAGAACAAATCTTACTGATCAGATAGATGCAGGGAGGGTTGTAATTCCATGTAGAGTTCTGGACAGCCACCTCTTGGGTTTCTGTGTAACTGGTCTGAAGGCTGGTGGTGGAATCTTCAGGACCACAGATCAACCCTGGGGATGGTTGGGCCTATGTGGCTTTTGAGTAAGAGTTCTTTAGGACTTGGAGTCTGAGGGGATGATGGGGGAGGGGAGGCGGGCATACCTGAAGAAAACAGTGATCAGCAGTTTCTGGGATTGTGAATCTGGCAGAGGTTCTAGTGATCTCACCAGGTCTGGATAGTGTGGTACCTACACAAATCCCCCCTGGCTCAGCCCCTGAGGATCTCTTGTTTACCATCTACCACAGACGATGTCGAGGTGAGGGGAAGAACGGGGAGTGAGGCGCCATAGGGGCTGGGCCAGGTGTGTCTCCTTTCCTGGCTGGGCTGTTTAGTTAAGTCTGGATCAGCAGTAAGCACTCCATAAACTTGTCTACTTTGCTGATTTTCTGTAAGTTTTTCCTGATTTGATTTTCTTCCCGATAAAAATTCCATGTGCGATATCCCAACCTTCTTCTCTTTGCTAAATTGGTTAGAGAAAGAATTCTTCTGTAGCTTGGGGCAGCTGGAGAGGAGTTTTGATGTACCTTTCTCACCAGATGTGCAGGTAGCAGGGGAGTTGGGTCAGCTCTGGACATCAGAGAGAGCCAGGGAAACTGAGGAGATAAGGAAAGAAGGGACCCAGGGGGACAGAAACAGGCTAAGTTCTGGCTTTTTATATTTTTGAGAAGAGTTATGAGTCGGAATCAACTCAATAATGGTGGGTTTGTTTTTTTTATTTTTTTTAAGATCAATTGCACTTTTTTTTTTTTTTTAAGGAACCCTGGTGGCACAGTGCTTAAGCTTTTGGCTGCTAACCAAAAGGTCAGTTTGAATCCACCAGCTGCTCCTTGGAAACCCTACTCTATCCTGTAGGGTCGCTGTGAGATGGAATCAACTTGACAGCAATGGTTTTTCTTTTTTTACTATATATTAGGTGCAGCGTTAAGTGTTGGGGATATAAAGATGCATAAAGCATGGTGCATGCCGTTAAATATCTCATTCTGTGTGTATGTGTATAAGCCTAAAAATAAAAGCCATACTGTGGTTGAATAAATATTATATAGCATTGATTAGCAGGAATACACTGTGGGTATAATTTAATCTTCCTAGAGAGGGGGCCATTAAAGTTATAGCAAGGCAGTAATGTTTGACATGGGCTTGAAGGTGAGTAGGTATTTATCAGATGGAGAAGGTAGAGGAGGGTTTTGGGGCAAAGGGAAAACCATTCCAGGCAATCAGACGGCACATGCAAAGGCAGAGAGCTGTTAGAGTACGAGGTGTATGGAGGGAATAGCTAGTGGTGACTTAGGGTGGCTTAGAGCATGTGGTCTTGGACGATGGTACTAGTGTGGTAGGTAGGGTGGGTCCTGCTGTGAAATATGCCAGGCTAAGTTCAGTTTTATAGTGTAGGCTGTTCTTGTGATAAGCAGCAGGTAATATTATGTCTGGATATGGAAGTTGAAGCCCAGGTAGTCAATTTAGTTTCTAATCTAAATGTTGATATGTGTTTCTTGCTCCTTAATGCTCTTGGTGTTTATTGAGTGCTTACAGTTTAAATAAAACGCCATGGAACTCTGCAGTGAATGGTATGTGCAGAAGTATAAGCAATGACTATGTCTTAAAGGAGTTAAGGTTTTATAAGGAAACCAGATTTACAGGCATGCAGCAGGTGAACAAGAATCTAACTTAGCATATGCAAAGGTGCTGCAAGTGTGGTTAAAGCAGGTGGCACAGAAAATGGAAGGAGGGAGCAGTCAGGGAAGGCTCTGTGGAGAGGGAACTTGAGGAGCTTTGAGGATGAGTGGGAGTTGGATCGGCATGGAGGAAGAGGACCACATAAGGGAAGGCCTGGAGGTGGGCTTGGGAATAAACAGCCTTTCCAGGTTGGGGGAGTCTTGTTCATTCTTCAAATGCTTATTTAAATGCAACTCTATGCCAAGGATTCTGCCAGGTACTACATGGCGTGGGCGACAAAATTAGAAAGGTAATTGGGAGTTTGGCATTTATGCTAAACGATGGGAAGCCATTGAAGGTTTTCTGAGTAACTGAGGAGGATGGGTTTGAGATTTAGTTGGCACAGCCAGGCAACGAATTGGGCAGTCTTGGGAAAAATCTTGGTGTTAGGGCCTAAGAACTTGAATTAAGCTTGTGGCAGCAGGAGGAATGGAGAATGGACAGGAGATAACTTTGAAGGGCTATTTGATGAAAATGACTGATCTTGTATAATGGATGAGAAAGAGCAGGGAGTAAATATGATCACAGGTTCATAGCCTGGGTGCAGGGAGGTGTCAGTATCAAGAACTGGGAGATGGAGGAGGGAACCCATAGCTCAAGGGAGAGGAAAGGAGGTGACGGGTACTGTTTAGAAATATAGAGTTTGAAGTAACTAAATGTATGGTGAAAGATCGTGGAAGATCTGAGGGGAAACTGGATAAAAAGGCCAGACAAGGGAAGTGGGACATATCACAAAATAACAGTGAATTACACTTGGATTTCAATGACTGTTCTTTGTCAACAAAAACAATATAATTTTTTTTAACTTTTGTAGGCAAAATCAGTTCATTTTTATTGATGAAAATTTAGAAGACATACATAAAAAGAAATGTAACTTGTGATCACAGTGTGTGTTTATGTTTATATTACACAGATATTTCACTTCTTTCTCTCTCTATGTGTGTTTTTGTATATGTGTTTAAATAGATTTTTTTTTTCTTAACAGAAAAAAAAATACTATTTCATATCGAATTTTTCCGCTCATCTAATATATTACAAATACCTTTTCCTACAATTGAGTGAATTTCTACAATATTTTTTATGCTATTTAATATTCCTCTGTGTGGTTGTTTTATTTAACCAGGCCCTATTATTGAATATTTAGTTGTCTCCTCTGCTTTGCTGTCATGGTAACAGTGTAATGAGTACCCTTGTACCTACATTTTTGCATATATCTAGCATTTTCTTGCGATAAATTCTTAAAAGTGACCTTACTGGGTTAACAGGTGGTGTCCTAGTTACCTAGTGCTGCTGTAACAGAAATACCACAAGTGGGTGGATTTGAAGAATATGAATTTATTTTCTCATAGTTCCGGAGGCTAGAAGTCTGAATTCAGAGCATGGCTTTAGGGGAGGTCCTTCCTTGTCTATATCAGCTTCTAGTACCTCCAGCAATCCTTGGAGTTTCAGGGCCTGGGCCTATAGATGTATCTGTCTCAGTCCTTTGTCTTCTCCCCCTTGTGTGTGTCTGTGTTTCTGTTTTCCCCTTTTTATAACTCAGGAGTGACTGTTAGGTTTAGGATCCTCCCTACTCTGGTATGACCTCATTAACATAAAATTCTTATTTCCAAACTGGGTCATATATACAGGTACCAGTTAAACTAGTTGGCATCAAGTTGTGTCAACTCCAATTCATGACAGCTCATGTCAGAGTAGAACTGTGCTCCATAGGGTTTTCAGGCGCTGATTTTTTAGAAGTAGATCACCAGACCTTTCTTCCAAGCCACCTCTGGGTCAGACTTGAACCTACAGCCTTTCAGTTAGCAGCCAAACAAGTGATTAGGTGGAAAAAAATTAAAGTTGGAGGACCCTCACCCCAAACTACACTTAAAAATAAATTTTCAATGTATTAAAATTTAAAGAAAAAAGATGAACCCACTTGAAAAAACCAAGTGAAAATATGATAGTCTTGAGATGGGGAGAGGACTAGTTTCTAAGCTTTAAAGTAATGTAAGAAATCACAAAGGAGAAAAAAATCCACAGACTCAATTATATAAAAATATCAAACGAAAAATATTTGCAACAAATGTGATAGACAAAGCAGGGGAAGGGCTGGTTCACACACTGTTGGTGGGAGTATAAATTGGTACAATCTTTTCTGGAGAGCAGTGTGATAATAAGTATCAAGAGCCTTAAAGTCCCTGTCCTTTGACTCAACAATTTCTCTTCCAGGAGTCTAACCTTTGAAAATTACCAGGAATTTGGACAAATGTTATGTTCAAAGCTGGTTACCTCAGCTTTATTGAAAATGCCCAAAACTGGAAATAATGTAAATGTCTATGGTAGGAGAAGGGTTAAATTATGTTTTTAAATAAGTTAATTATTCACTACTATAAGCAAACATACATATAACTCTAAATCATAGGATTGCTGTAATTAGCAGTGACATTTCCTTTAAATTTCAGGCTTGCTTTGCTTTGGTTAGGAAATCAAAATATTCTTCTGTGTTTCCAGTAAGCTGAATTAAATGCTAACTGAAGAATGGTAGGATTAGTGGGCCATCTTTGAGCCGTTCTCTTACACTGTGCTGAGATATGTTAATTAAAAACAATAATATAGAACATTTATAAAGTGCTTATTGTGTGCAGGGCATTGTGCTAAGTACGTTGCATGATTGTCTTGTTTATTTCTAGCATCAACTTTATGAAGCAGGTAATGTTATTATCCCCATTTTACAGATGAGGAAACAGAGAGGCCCAAAAAGTTTGTGACGTACCCAAGCTCACACAACTAGTAAGAGGTGGAGAGCCCTGCGTAGCCCAGAACTGAGAGATGCCAAAGCTGGGGCTCCTAACAGAGACAGCACTGAGTAGATGTTACTGAGTATCTAAGCAGAGGCTTATCCTGTACTGGAATTAAAATGTAGAAATAACAAGTGACTTTCTAAAACATTTTTGATTAGGGTTAACTAAGGAGCCCTGGTGGTGGAGTGGTTAAGCACTCGGCTGCTAACCAAAAGTTCAGCGGTTTAAACCTACGAGCTGCACCACCAGAGAAAGATGTGACACTCTGTTTCTGTAAAGATTTACATCCTTGGAAACCCTATGAGGCAGTTCTCCTTTGTCCTGTTGGGTCCTTATGAGTCGGAATCGACTTGACAGCAACAGGTTTATGAGGTTACAGTAGGAGCTCTAGTGGTACAGTGATTCAGCATTTGGAAAGGTTGGCGGTCTGAACCCATCCAGTGGCTCTGCAGGAGAAAGATCTGGTGATCTGCTCCTGTAATGCCATAAAGATTACAGCCTAGAAAACTCTGGGGCAGTTCTACTCTGTCGCATGGGGTCACGATGAGTCAGAGTCGACTTGATGGCACCTAACAACAACAACGACATGGCATTACAGAGGCTGGAGATGCTGTCATTGAGCCTCACTTCATTGTGCACACTCCATCTTTTATGGCCACCAGGGTCATTCCTGCCACCCAACTAGCCCTGTTCTTACAGCTGCACTGTCCTTACCCCTGCCCCCCAAGTCACTCTTTCATTCTCAGGAACAGGGAGCTCTCTCCTGCTCCATAAGGGCAACGTATGATCCCCAGGCTGTTTCTCAGCGTTTCCCCCAACGCCGAAGTTTTATGGAGCAGGAATTAGCATGTCCCCTATTGTGCAGGAGCTTCACTGGACCACACTAAAAAGGAAGACCTGGAAGAACATTGAAGAAGCATCCCAGGCCTAAATCTTATTTACTGTTTTTGTATGATAATGCTCTAGAATGGAGAGAACACTAACTGAAGCAGCATTTACTACTTGGGTCTATAAAATCCCACAAGAAGCAATGCAGTTGATAGTTTGCTTTCCAGCTTAGCCTGTTAATCATCCTCTCTGGTATCATCGATGCCCTTGAAGCAGGAAGGGAGACAAAAGAATTAGATTGTTTTCCTCCATGATTCATAATTCTACTTTTTAAAAAAGCTACGTGTCCTTGCTGAAGAACAAGGCATAGTCTGTCTTTATAAATTGTGTAAACCAGGGCTTCTCAACCTTGGCCCTATTGACATTTTGCACTGGATAATTCTTTTTTTGTCAGGGCCGTCCTGTGTGTTGAGGGATGTTTGGCGGCATCCCTGGCATCTCTCCACTAGATGCCAGCAGAACCCCCTCCTCCCAGTTATGACAACTCAGATTGTTTTCAGACATTGTCAAATGTCCCCAGGGAGAAAATTGCACTCAGTTGAGAGCCACTGATAGAAACATAAAACTGGGCCAAATTAATATGTTCCATTTTTTCTTTGAAGTGAGGGGAAGTAATTGTCATCATGAAGAGCACATTATTGTATCTGACACTGCATCCTTTGAATTTTTTCAGCTTTTTCATAGATCCCATAGTTACATACTTTTGAGAATCATATATAAAATAATAACTTCTCTCTCTCTCTCTGATAGTATGCAAGCATTGAAAAAAATGGTGAATTTTTCATGTCGCCCAATGACTTTGTCACTGGATATTTGAACATTTTTGGAGAAAGCCAGCCTAATCCAAAGACTGTGGAACTTTTAAGTGGTGTGGTGGATCAGACCAAAGATGGGTATGTTTATTTTTAATTATCTTATTGAATATTTTTTTCCATAAGCTTTTTTAATGATTAGGAAGTCATCTATTGCTACTAATAAAATGTTTTACAAATAATGCTCTTTAACATATCCTTCAGTGGTCATTTCATAGTTGAGGATTCTGTATGTGATTTTTTTTGACTAGTTTAAAGAACTCTTCATAGTTTAACAAAACTGTGATGAGGTAGTGTGAAGATATACTAGAGTGTTTGTATATCTGTTGGTATTTTTCAAGGCAGTATAAAAATGGTAATTATAAAGCATAGTTCTGTGAACTTTTAAATTTTCTAAAATCTTTCCCTCTGCTCCCATAACCTTTAAAATCTCACATATTAGATGGTACGGATCTAGGAGACAGAATAATATAATGATTCCGAATCCTCAAGAAAGGCACTCTACAAAAGCTGGAGAAGAGAGACTGTGCCATATAGATTAACTAGGATACTTTGCAAAATGGCTTTGGATTTTTTATCTTCTACCAGTCTTCTCTGCTTATACTTTGTTAAAAAAAAAAAAAAAAAAGGGTCTTTTCTAAGCTGTAAAACATTGCAGTTGGCTTTTACCAGTAAGTGCAGAATTTTGCGTTTGCAGCTCTTGCTAATATGAGCACCAATGTCCCATAATAACTGAAGTATGATCTACTAGAACTAGCTGTCTCTGTGCATAACTATGGTAGACCTGGCCTTCTGGTTTTGCTGCCTGTCAGCACCCACTTTGACAAATTGCGGTTGCATGCCATTCTGCACTGGAATTCTCTAGCTCTGAGCTTCTTCCCATTTGTTGGAATCTTTGTGCGCCTGGTTTTCCCATGCAGTAGTTTTGATATAACCAAAGTAAAATCTCTTCATGCCCAGCAAATGCTCTCCGTGTTTACCAGCACTTCCCTTTTCTTATGTGTGCACGTGTCATCCCATCTTGCGTGGAAATGACCTTCTATAAAGTCAGTCAGGCTCTCAAGATGTGGGAGGAGGGGAGAGGAAGAGGAAATTGGCAGATATTCTTCCTGCAATTTGCTGGTGGGTTGCTTGATTATGACTTCTCTCTGTTCCAGTGGTAGAAGGTTTGTTTGTTTTTAATCCTGTTACCTCTATTTTCGATCTCCCACCCCAAGGTGGAATTCTTTGCTTGGTAGGAAAAGGTAATGTGTGAGCAGGCCTTACTTTCTGGGATGTTGTGGGGAGAGGCAAGGCATATTCCACAACAGTCCACTGAAGCAGAAGTTAAGCTATTTTAGCAAACATTCTTCTGAGGAAATTTGGTCACTTCAGCACTTCCTGTGCTCAAGATTGAGGGGAATTTTGACCAAGCTCACATGCAGCATCAGTCGTGCGACTGAATGTTTGAGGTTAAGATTCTTCTAATTTGATAGTTTGAAAATGTTTTAAACTACAGAAAAAACGGAAAGAATAATACATCGAACATCCAGTATATACCCTTCACCTAAATTGACTATTAACATTTTGCTACCTTTGGGCTCTCTTTCTATGCCTACAAACAAGTGCACACCTAATTTCCTTTTCTTGGGTGGACCTTTTAAGTATAAATGGACAGACATTATAATACTTGAGCATTTATCTTCTAAGAATATCAACATTCCCTACAGAACTACCATACCATTGTCATATGTAGGAAAATTAACAATCATGTTAGATATCTAACACCCAGTCTGATACACACATTCGCCAGATTCTCCTGCCCATCCACCATTCCAAATGGCTCATTGATTTTTTTTAAATCTAGGATATAGTCAAGGTTCTTGTATTGCATTTAGTTGTTATGTCTGTTTTAATCTAGAACAGAACCTTTATGATGTTGACTTTTCAAATCCAGGCCAGTTACTTTTTTGAAGATTCCATGTTCTGGGCTTGACTGTTTCCTCATGATTGGATTCAGGTTAAATTTTTGGATGCAAGTTAGGGGGTATCTTGTACTACCTATTGCATCTCCTCAGGTTGTTGTCCCCATATTGATGAAGCTAAGTTTGATCACTTGGTTAAGTTCATATATTTTTTTGTTTTATAATTAGTAAATAATCTATAAGGAGCCCTGGTGTCACAACAGTTAAGCACTCCACTGCAAACGGAAAGGTTGGTGGTTCAAACCCACCCAGCAGCTTTGCAGGAGAGAAAGACCTGGTGTTCTGCTCCAGTAAAGATTACAGCCTAGAAAACCGTATGGGGCAGTTCTACTCTGTCACACGGGGTTGCTATGAGTCAGAAGTGACTTGATGGCACCTAACAACATAACAACAGATAATCTGTGAGACAATACATTGAGACCATGTGGATATTCTATTCCTCAGCAACCTTTTACCCAATGGTTTTAGCATCCACAGTGATCCTTTTTTGAATCAGTTGTTATACTGGTTTTTGACAAGTGCTGATTTTTCTAATTTTATCATTTCTCCTAAATTTGTTGGCTAGTATTCTTTGGTAAAGAAAAGCTCTCTCCCCACCTCCTTTTCTTTTTTTTTTTTTTTTTTTTTTTTTTTTTTTTGTGAGGAGAGGAAGGATGTGGATATCAGTATAAATTTATGGACTTATTTTTTAATTCAGTGTACTATAATATATGGCTGTTGTACTCTTAGATGCTCAAATTGTCCCAGCTTGGTTAGTGAAAGTTCCTTCAAGCTGGCTCTTTTGTCCAGTCATTGAATGCTCCTTGCTTTTGGCACAATAAGATGTTCAAGCTCACCTTGGACATTTTTTTGCCACTGACCTGAAAATCACCCTTTCTCCAAGAAGCCCCGGTTCCTTTTAGTGGGGAATGGTGTTTAGAAACAAAGAGCTGGGAACTGCTTTATTGTTAACTAGGGTGTTAAACTGCTTGTCTGACTTTTCATTGGAGAGAGCTGGGAATATAAAAAACAAATCAAAAGTTTATAATGATTTTCGTATTTAAATTTAACGTTAACAAGGATTTTTCCTTGTCTTTTACTTATCTTTCTCCCTTTCTGTGAAAATTCTTGCTCCTGATTACATTAATATATTTATAGGCATTTATTTGATATAATTGTAATTCCTTCTAATGTACTTTGAAGTACTTTTAATGTACTCCTATTCCATCCCCACCCTCATTAACACACATGCTTTTTCTTGTTTTTTTATGTATAATCTCCAAAAATATAGCCTTATATTTATTGGATACCAAGTATCTACGATGCATTTTACGTATTCACTATACTATGTTATGCGATACTGTATGATCCTAAATTGTAACATGTATTTTTTAAACAGTTTATAACAAATCTGAAGCATTAGCTTTGTTTTTCCGGTGTTTGCAGGTGAGATAACTAAGACTTCCAGAGTTTAAGCAATTTGCCCCAAAATAGTGCCTATTCTGTGACTCAAGCTTAGGCCTGTCTGGATCCAAAGTGTGTGGTCTTTGCAGTGTTCCAGTCTGCCTCTTCCCTCTTCTAAGAGAGAAAGAATCATGTGGTAGTTTATGTTATGTGTCAGCTTGGCTAGGCCATGATTCTTAGTGTTATGTAATTATCCTCCATTTTGTGATCTGATGTAATTATCCTCCACTTTGTGATATAATGTAATCTCCTCCATGATGTGATCTGATGTGATCAGCCAGTCAGTTGTAAGGGGAGTTTCCCTAGGGGTGTGGCCTCCACCCAATATATATATGGACGTTCTGGCAAAGCTGCTTGCTTGCTCGCTCAGGATCCTGTTTCTGGCTCGTCTTCATCTGACCTCAGGTTCTTGGGACTTGAGCCAGCAGCTTGTCGTTTGACCTGCTGACTTTAGAATTCACCAGCTCCACAGGCCTGTGAGCCAGCAGACTGTCTGATCTGCCAATTCTGGGTTTGTCAACCCCGGCAACCATGTGAATCAGGAGAAGCCTCCAGCTGACTCCTGACCCATGGACATTGGGACTTGCCAGTCTCCACAACTGCGTGACCCAATTCCTTGAGACAAATCTCTGTCTGTCTGTCTCTCTCTCTCTACATATATATATTATATATATACATGTTTCACTCGTTTTGCTTCTCTAGAGAACCCAGCCTAAGACAAATTGTAATCTTACAATCCTCTATAACTTGACATTTTCTTTGACAATTTTGTATTATTTTAAATATCAGTGTTTTGCTGCAACAGTGAAAATATTAGATGGTCTTGATCTTTTCCTACGATCTAGCTTATTTTCTTAACAGTTGTGAAAACAGTAACAGTGAAAAATCACATTTTTCAAAGCAGAAGCAGCCACCTGTAGTGTTTTTACCTTGACACAAATTTTTTCATGTTTTAGTATCTTCCATGACACCTGCATAGATTTTTTAATGCTTTTAATTCATTTTAATTATAACACTATTTTATAATCTTTTAAAATATATCAATCAACTTTCATATTTCCATATACTATTCATATTAACAGTGCTAAATGGCTATGTCATTTTCTGTCAAATGCCAAATTTCTATCAAAATGTGTAACATACTCGTCTTAGTTTTGTAGTGCTGCTGTAACACAAGTACCACAAGTGGGTGGCTTTAAAGAACAAATTTATTTTCTTACAGTTCTGGAGGTTAGAAGTCCAAATCGACCATGTCGATTCCTTCCTTGTCAGTACCCTGGGTGTTCCTTAGTTCCTTGGCTTGTGGATGATTCTTACATGGTGTTTGTCTTCCCCCATGTATGCACAGTCCCGTTGTGCATTCTGCTCTTTTTATAACGCAGAAGTGATTAGATTTAGAACCAACCCTATTTGGGTATGACATACCATAACATGTAATTAACATAGCAAAGAAAACCCTTTTTTCCAAACAGGATTATATCCATGAGTATAGGGGTTAGGGTTGCAGCACATATTATAGGGGGGACACAATTTAATTCATAACAATACTTTATTAGATCATGTGCTTATAGAATTATTTCATTTCTAGTTCTCTATATGATGTTTTGCCCTTCTGTTTAATTACTTCTTTTTTTTAAAAAAATAATATTGTATTTTAGGTGAAAACTAGGTTCC